CAGCGCTCAGGGTGCCGGGAGCTTGCCGGGACTTTGTCTCTGGGATCGAGTTGTTTATTTCCTTAAATTCTAGAGGCAGAAAATCCCCCAACTCATTTATTCCTGCACCAAGCGGAGCCAAACCACCCGGCATCACCCCCACTTCCCCTGCCCCCTCCCCCCCCCAGCTGTGCCTGGCCCGGCCCGGCCCTGGTCCATACAGGATTCCTGGAGAGCACAGGTGGGCCAGGCCTGGGTCACCAGATCCCCACCCCAGGGCTTTGGCCGCCACTAGCGGCTGAGGTCACTGGGGGCTCCACACCTTGACATGGCCCCCAGCCAGCCTGGCCCCGTCGTCCCGTTCAGACGCCACGGGCCCTCCTCACCCGCCCTCACTGCAGGGCTATAAACAACCCCCTGCTGCGCCCTGACGGTTCTGCCCCCGCAGTCCTTCCCCCAAGCAAAGTCTGTTCCTTCCATCTCTGCTCAGACGGTTACTGTTCCCAGAACCCGCAACGAAACGGAAACCACACGCAGGCATTCCTGCCCGCCGCCACTGCCACGCCATGCACACGCGCCCTCCCCCGACAAGCCCACGCCATCGCACGCCCAGCGTGCCAGGCCAGCAAACGCCTGCACACGTGTGCACGGGCCCTCTGCCACACCCATGGGCCCCTGAGCCTCCCCAGCCACACCCATGGGATCCTGCCCCCTGGAGCCCGTCCTGGATGAGGCCTGGGCTGGCTGCCCCCCACGTCCAAGCTCTCCCCCCATTCTGCCTCCCCCTCTCCCTGCCCTCTCCCTCCCATAGCCAGCCCTGACCCCTGCCTGCCATCACAAGACCTTTGGCCTGGGAAAGCCCCCTCCCCCCCCCCCCCAGTTTGCTGCCAGGACCCTCAGGCCAAGGTATTTGGTGTCCCTGTAAGTTCCCCTCCGGCTGGGTTGCTGCTCGGTATGCCAGAAATAAACAGGCGCAGAGTGCCGGGCCTGGCCTGGGGCAGGGAGCTAGGCAGGGGGCAGCTGTGGGCGGGGAGGAAGCCGATGCCCACGGCAGAGGTTCTGGTGCCCGGGCCCAGGGCCCATCTATACCAACTGGCTGGGCCTGCCAGGGGGTGCTGGCATTCAGGGCTGCAAAAGGCCCTCGGGGGCTGGCCCCCCCGTCTGTGCTCCTTCCCCGCTTGGTGCCGTGAGACAGGGCTGGGGGGTCGTTAGCTAATGAGCTGAGTGCCTCTGAGATGGGGGGGGGCTGACCCCGCTGCGGGGCTGGGGGCAGCTCTGCCTCCCCTGACCTCTCTGCTCCCCACAGCGGAGGATGAAGACTTGGTGGCTGTTAACCTTCGGAGCCTGGCGACCATCGCTGCCCTGGTGGAGGCGGCCGGCGAGGAGAGCACCCCACCCTGCCTCAGCCCCCTGGCGGCCCCCCTGGCCCCCCGCGCACGGGGCCTGCGACGGAAATACACCTGGACCCCCAAAACCAAACCCGTGAGTGCCAGCCTCGCCGCCCTGCCTGCGCGGTCCCCCAGCCTCCGCAGCACATGTCAGGGCCCACCCGAGCCACCCGCCGGCCTGGATTCCAACCGGCAACCCCCAGGGAAAGGTCCCAGGGCCCCATGGCGGCATCTCTCGCCACTCCTGGGAGCCCCGTGCTCTCCCCCGCAGTCTCCCTTTGTCCTTGGAGCCCTGGGCCCACCAACAGTCGAAGGGCCCACCCCATGTTTAGTCTGTGGGTTGCCCAGGGCCCTGCCTGGCTCCTGCCACACCCCAGAGCTAAGCGCATTCCCTGGCACATGGGGACTCCAGGGCGCTCCCGTCTCGCCAGGGTCACCCATCGGGCAGCTCCCCGAGGGGCCCGGATGCCTGTTGGGACGATGGGAACTGGAGCCGTGGGGACCTGGTGGCTGGGTGGGGTGGCCTGTTCCCGACAGATGGATCCCCCATTGCACCTGGGATCTTGGAGAAAGGGGCATGCGCCCGGGCTCCTCTCCCCAGGCAGTCGAAGCTGCCTCTGGCCTTGGCCCTTTGCTGGGCTCCAAAGGCCGGTTCAGGCAGAGATGGGGGGCCAGACTGGTGATGCCAACGAAGGGAGCAGCTGAGGACACGGTGCTCAGCCGCCCAGCCTGCAGGCCCTTGGCTCTCCTCCCTCACGCTGACCCTGGGCTTGCCCCCCCAGGTCTGCCCCCTGAAGGCCGCCATTGAGCAGCTGGACACGCAGGAGGTGGAGATGCGGCTGCGGCTGGCGGAGCTGCAGCGCCGCTACAAGGAGAAGCAGCGGGAGCTGGTGAAACTGCAGCGACGGCATGACCATGAGTACGTCACCCTCGACGCACCCCTGCCCACTGGCCTTTCGGAGCCCCCCACACACACAGGGCATGGGGCAGGCACCCAGTCTGTGAAAGGGGCAGGGGAGGGAGGGATGGAGTGGGGGGTGGGTGGGGGGGAACTGCCGCAAAGGAAAGAGGAGGGAGCCCCCCGAGGTCTCTGCCCAGTGTCCCAGGAGGTGTCAGAGCCCCAGGGAGAACCTGTAATAGCAGCAGAAAAACAAGGCAGGTGAAAAGTCACTGGTGTGATGAGTCTGAGGCCGTTCTCAGCCTAGTTCACGCAATGAGCCAGTCAGCGGAGAAGACGCAGGAGCCCAGAGCAGAGGGCAGGTGGGGGGCGAGTTCCTGGCGTCACTCTGGTTTTGTTGTGGCTGGTGCCCGCAGGCACGACGAGAGCTCGCGGAGTCCGGCGCGGCGCGGCCCGGGGCGGCCGAGGAAACGGAAGCACTCCAGCATGCTCGGCACCCTGCGGCAGAACAACGCGCTCAGCAGGGCTGACGGCAGGAAAGTCAAGTGAGTGACGCTGCGTGTGGTGCATTGTGGGGATATGCCAGCAGCTGGGGCCCCTGTCTCTGGGGGTCGCTTGGCCCCAGGAAGCCCCGTGCTCTGGCTCCAGGGGGTGTGCTGCATGCATTGCCTTGTGGCATGGGAGGGTGGGGGCTCATTCCCCATCCCCGGTGTGGTAGATGTGACTCTTAGCGAGCCCCAGGCTCAAGCCCACAGGGCAGAGTGGCACGCCGAGCGCTGGGACTGTAAACCTGCAGCCCCCTGCACTTGGCTGGCCGATTACAGGAGCGTGTCCTGGTGTCCTTCCTCTCCTTCCTGCTTCTGCGTGGCACTGCCCGCCTCACGGCTCCTCTGCCCCAGAACCGGCAGCATTTCGGGGGCAGGAGACGCAGTCACCGTGTGTGCAATCGGATGGAAATGGGGCTGGAGAAAGGGCTGGCTGGCTGCAAGGCTGGCTTCCTCCTTGCGCTCCCTCCCCAGCCCATCGCCGAGCGGAGCGGTTCCGACGTGCCTGCACTGTTCCGGGGAGCCCCCCCCCCAAAGGGGAAGGCAGCGTTGCATAAAAGCCTCTTTATCTGTGCTGTATAAAGTCATTGGTCACGCTGCAGTGCTGTTCATTGCTGCTGGCGCTTTATTATTATCCATTAGCCGCCCGGCGCAGTCATTCTCGCACTCACGGGCCCTGTATAATTGTCCTTCTCTGCTACAAATTGCCTCTCCCGGCAGGCCCATTTGCATAAATCCTCCGAGCTAGTCCAAACATGATTGGAGTGTGTGTGCGCAGTGCATCAATCCTGATGATTTGGTAATAATAGTTAAATCTGTACTAAATGGTTCCTTCAATTAAGACAGAGGGAAAAAATTAATCTCGAGGTTTTATGTCACAAAACATTAGCAAATGGAGTGAAGGTTAGAGTTAAAAAAAAAAAAAAAAGCAGTTAGTGTTGGCTTAGGGTTGCAACGTGGCTCGACCATATGGCTGGTGGGAATTCTCCTGGGCTATTGGGACAACTGGTTTTGCTCCCTCCCCCCAGTCCAGGGGAAAGAGGAGAAACCTCCCCCACCCCCATCCGCAAAGCAGCCCGCTGAATACAGGGCCGGCTCCCTGTGACGAGACACCCCGCACTGCCCTCCACTGCCCGTAGCAGGTCTGTCTCCTCTAGTGACTGGAGAAAAGGGCTTCCGGGCTCCTCCACAGACGCCTGGGCTGAGCACGACCGCCCTCCTGCCAGGGCTGCCCGAGCTGCCAGCTCTCTGGTGGGGAAGGAGGGGCAGAAAATGCCCTGGTGGGGCCCAGGCCAGGGGACTGGCATACCTGGAAATTCCTTCCCCACTCCAGATCTGGCCACTTCCCTCCCCTGGTGCATGGGCCAGAGTCACTGGAGCGTCTGCGTCCCTGGCGTTGCTGATAAAGGACCCAACAAGAACCTCAGATGGATCCGTGCCATTTACCTGGGCAGTGGCCAGACTAAGGCGTGTTCCTGCTGTTTGTGTGCACATGCAATCATGCAGCCACACTCGAGCACGCGTGTGCTCATGCACATACTTTCCTCCACAGATGCAGCCACACAGACCGGCACACTCACGTACGTGTGCGCCAATGCATACCCATGCACACACTCATCCTCGCACGGACACGTCTGTGCTCCAGTACACACACAAATGCACAATCACACAGCCCTCCACTTGGCCTGACCCGCCCACTGCACACAGCCTCGCCCCACGTTCGTGCACCCACACATGGCCTTGCGGCGAGCTCCCTGTGCTCACACCCCTGCACCCATCGTGCTGACACACACGCTGCTTGTGACCCTGTGCGCACGCACGTCTTTGCACAAGCCCTGGCCCCGCACCCCAGGAAAGCTGCCTCTGCAGGCTGTGAGCCTGCAGCCCCACACGCAGGCCCTGCCCCTCCCCGTGCGCCACATGCGGCATCTTGGCCACAGCCATGCGGCAAAGGCTCCTCCAGCAGCTGCAGCTCCGGCCCTTTGGCCGCCATCCTATCACTAACATTCCTGCCTCCTCAAGCTCTCCAAGTGCACGGAGCTGGCTGAGCGGAGACGCCTCCCAAAGCCGGACACTCCCCTGGAGCAAAGCTGTGGCCTTGAGCCGTGGAATCTCCTCGCAGGGCCCCGTTCCTCCCTGGCTGGCCCAAGGGCCCCGGCCAGTGACTTGGAGAGCTGGGAACCTCCCTGCCTCCCCTCCTGGCTCTCTGGTTAGCCGGGGATTCCCTCCCTGCCGCCCGGAGCTGACACTGGGTGCCAGGGTCGCCCAAGGGCACCGGGTCGAAAGGTCGAGTGAAAGCATCAGGCCCTGCCAGAGGGGTGTGAACAGGAGCTGCCTTGCAGGTGCGGGGCCGGGGGACAGCCACGGACCCCAGCCTGGAGCGCCAGGGCAGGGGAGCAAAGTCAGCTTCCCTGGAGCTTGGGGCTCAGCCCCGCTCCTGACACGGAGGGGCTCCGGGCGCCAGGCCTTGGGGCAGCGAGATGCCCTGGTTCGGGGTGGGCAGCAGCGCTGGGAAGGAATGAACAGGGAGGGTAAATGAGCCCCCTTCAGGGAGCCCGGGGTGGGGGGGGCATTCTCCCTGTGGGGTGGCTGCTCCAGCGAGCGCCCAGATGCACGGGCAGTGCCCGCAGAGCCGCAGGCAGGGCGGTGGAACTGGCAGGGCGGGCGCTGGTGTTGTGTCCCGCTGATTGCACAGTGGGGATGGGGGCCGTGGCTGGTTCTGGCACTCTGACCCACAGCGTCTCTGTGCGCCGCTCCCCGAGGTGCTGTGATCTGAGTGCTGGGGTGGGGGACCCCCCTCTCCCATCCCCCACCCCCTTGGGCCCAGCTGCCGCTCCCAGGCCCTGCCTGGTTTTTTCTGCACTCTAATGACTAAAGCAATTAGTCAGTAATAAATGCCCCCAGCCCCAGGAGGGCAGCACCTGTGCATCTCCCACAGTCGGGGGGGGGGGGTGTCTCCCCATCTCCCCCACTCACCAGTGGCAGCACTGACATCCTCTCGGACGGGACAGGCCAGCCCCACGTGGGAGCTGCCTTTCCCCTGCCAGCCCCGTGCCCATAAAGCGCCCTGACAGCTGGGGATGGCGATTCATTTTTGGTGAAAGAGGCGATTGTCCGTGGAGCGGGTCCGTCCCCCCCCCCCCCCCCCCCCGTATTAATTAGCTCCAGCAGCAGCCGCCTCGCGGGCTCTCTGGAGGAATGTGGCAGGAAGGCACAGAAAGCCCAGGAATGTCCCAGGGAGAGGACCCCCCCCCGCCCCGTCCCCACAAGGGAGCAGATGCCGGGTGTGGGGGGTGGATCTGGCCTGCCCCAGCTGTGGCCTCATTGTGTTCATTGTTGGGTGGGGAGATCCCAATGCAGCCCATCCCCCCCATAATACACCTGCCAGGGAAGGAAGGGGGCGCAAGGCTGGTGTCAGGGAGGCATTGTCTGTGCAGCCTCTACCCCCAAGGATCTCAAAGCACCACAATGGATTTTTGCCTCCCAGTTCCCCTCTAGGGGTGCAGAGAAGTCTCAATGCCCCCATTTTATACAGTGGGAAACTGAGGCACAGGGCGATCTGGCGACTTGCCCCCAGTCATGTCGCTGGGACAAGAACCCAGCGCCAGGCTGGGGTGGGAGTTCGGAGCCGCTCTGGTTCTCTGCTCCAGCATGGACCTGGCTCATGCCCACCTGTTTGTCACGAGCCTTGGCTCCATAGAACATGGCTCTGGGCAAAGGGGCCGGGTGGGGGCAAGATCCCTTCCCAGCCCCCCTAGGCTGCCCGGTGCCAGGTGCAGTTCACAGGGCCCCGGGCTCAGTGGCTATGGGGGAGTGCTTGGGAGAGTGCTTGGCTGGGGGGGGTCAGGCTCTGGCAGTGGGGCTGACATCAGGGTGGAGGCTGGCAGCAGGCTGGGATTCCTGGGGCAGCCGGGTAGGCAGCAGGACAGGGCTCCTGGGGTGGGGCTGGTGGTGGGGTGGGGCTGACGGCGGGTCGGGGTTCCTGGGGTGGGGCTGGTGGAGGGGTGGGGCTGATGGCGGGGCGGGGTTCCTGGCAGGCTGGGGCTGATGGCGGGGCGGGCAGGCTGGTGGCAGGACTGGATTCCCGGCACCCCGGGACAAGGCCCGCGTCTCCGCGGCTCTGCATGCCCGGTGCACTGAAGGCCGCTATCCCCCGCTCATAGGGCCGTGAAGACCAGCCTGTCCCTCCTGTGCGCGGAGCTGCGGAGCGACGGCGAGCCCAAGAAGAAGCGGAGCAGGATTGCCGAGGCGGCCTACAGCAGCCTCAAGGGCGCCCAGGTGAGTGCCCGTGCCGGGAATGGCCCCGCTGGGTTGGCTGGGGGAGGCTGGACACTGGGTGAGGGCGCTGGGCACGGTGCCCAGGGGTCTCTGGGGGGTCTTGGCTGTTCCACACATGGGCGGCCCCATTCCCCGACAGCCCCAGCCGGGAGGAGCGGGGATGCGGGTCGTAATGAACTCAGCAGCACTGCTGGGAAGCCCAGCTCCTCTTCTGGCAATGGGGGATGGGCGAAGCCATTGCTGTGGGGCCGGGTGGCAGGGCAGAGCGCGCTGGGTGGCTGCTCAGGGCTGTGCTGTCTCCGGCCCACACAGGACAAGGTGCGGTGCAAGAAAAGCGCTGCCAAGGCGGCTCACAAGGTCTCCCAGCTGAAGCAGAAAGTGAAGAGCAAAGGGCTCCCGGCCGGCATCAGCCCCTTCCGCAGGAAAGAACCCAGCCCCGGCAGCCGGATCCAGAAGAAACTCTCCAGGGCCAAGAGCACCAAAGCCGCGGCCTCCACCAAGTACCCGCAGCCGGACCCGGCCAGCCGGGAGACTTCTCACTTCAAAGCCACGCCCAGCCCGGGGGCAGCCGGCGCAGGTACGGGAGTGGGAGAGGGCACGGGCCAAGGGTTCGGGGCCACAGCCCAATCAGGTCCCACTGGCAGCCGGCCCTAGGGCTGCCCCCCCTTCATACTGCTGCAGGGAGGCCCTGGGCACGACTCTCCGCTCCACAGGGGAGGGAAGGGGCATCTGTCCCTGGGCACAGGGCAGCTGGCAGGGCAGGGCTGCCTTGGCAGCGAGAGGTGCCGGCTCTGATTGAGGGGCAGGGGGCTCCCTGGGGCTGGGGGCCGTGCACAGGGATGAGTGCTATCTGCAGCTACTGGGGGAGAGGAAGGGAGGCCGACAGATGGAGAAAGCTCTGTGGGACGAGGAATTTAAAAATAGCTCTGTCTGCCTGGCCCAGGGCTGGTTCCCGAGGCCCCGGGGGCGACCCCGCAGCTGCCGGGCAGGGTTATCGGGCAGCCAGGCCCTGACACACAAGACTGGGAAAAAGCCTCAGCTTCCTCTCCCCAAAAGCCCTTTGGTCCGGCAGAACAAAGAGAGGGGCCCGCTGGGCAGGATGCAGGAAGGAGGAAGCCGGAGCAGGAAGCGCTTGCTGCGAAGGAGCAGGAGGTGCCATCCCCAGGGAGCGCCCTCCCCGTGCCCCGGGTGAAGGGCAGAGAAGTGGGAAGGGCAGATAAGACGAGGAAATCCAAGGCTCTTTGTGCCGGCCCTGGTGGTGTCTGGCTTCAGCAAACCTCTCCCGGGTGCCCAGCCCTGCCCAGCATGGCTCTGCTCCTGGCGGGAGGGGTCCTGCCTGCCGACTGGCCACCGGGCTGGGGCCAGAGAAAGGGGATCCCAGCCCTGCACCCTACCCTTCTGGGGGTATCCCCAGGCGAGCCCCAGGATGGCTTCCAGAGACCCCCCCCAGCCACTCTCGGGCTATGACATGGGGACATGCTGAGTCCCCTGCTGCTGCCCAGCGGGTCCCTCCCTGATCCCAGGGCCGGGCAGGGCAGTGTGGGGAGAGGGGGCTGGGTAAGTACGGGCCCCCCTGCACCCATGTGCTCTCCGGCCGGCGCTCAGCCTCACACCCGCCATTGCAGCCCCACCTCCCCCATCTCTTCCTCACCCCTCCCGGCCTGGCCTCCCCCTGCAGACGCAGACTACGAGAGCGAGGACGGTGCCGCCCTGTCGCCTGACGAGACCCTGCCCCCGGCCGTGGTCGGGCCCTCCCCATCCTCGGTGGTGAAGATGGAGGCCAATCAGAAGGCGAAGAAGAAAAAGGAAAGGCAGGGGTTGCTAGGTAACGGGAAAGGCAGGCCGGGGGTACCGGGGATTGGCAGGTGCCAGCACAGGGCAGGGGGCCCCTGGCACAGACCCCCCTGAGCAGGGGGCAGGCCATGGAGGCAGAGCTCCCTTTGCCCGGAGCTGGGGCAGCACGCTGGAGGGGCTCACGCTGGCACAGTCCAGCTCTACCCAGCGCCGGCCCCGTCGGCCCACCTCGAGAGGCAGCGAGCGAAGCCAGATGCTTTGCTCAGCGGGTGCCCTGATGGAAACTTGTGGCCAGCTGGCCATGGTTCAGAGTCAGTGCAGGGAGAGCACCCCCTGCCGGTGCCCCAGGACGCTGGCCCACATGCCAGCACGGGGCCCCTGCTCCTTGGCGGGCTCAGGACGGGCACAGGCTGGCAGTCGCCAGGACCCCTGGCCTAAGCAGCCCGTCCCTCCCCTCTCTCCCTGCAGGGCCTTGTCGAATCTCCAGCCCAGAGGGCGAAGTCAAGATCAAGCGGCGCCCGGGGAAGCCTGGCGCAGGGAAGCTGGAGAAAGTGCCCGCCAAGCGGAAGACGGGGGCCTGCGAGGGGACCGCCAAGAAGAAGCTGAAGGGGAATCCCAAGGAGAGCCTGCGGCAGCTGGTGCAATCCGGCGCGGGCAGCCTGGCAGCCAGCAACAGCCCCTTCCCCGGCACCGACGCCAGGCAGTTCACACCCAGGGAGGATGGGGCCAAGATTTCCAGCGAGCGCCTGAAGAAAGCCACGCGCAAGAGCAAGGTGCTGCAGTCGGCCCTGCGGGTGAGTGCTGGGGGGCAGGGGCTCCTGTAGGTGGGGGGGCCGGGGGTGCTGAGTGTGGAGAGGCAGGGGGCGCACAGGTTGGGGGCGTGTTGCATGGTGCAGGGCAGAGGGCTGTGGGTGTGCTTGGGGGTCTCTGGGCCACAGCCATGCACTGTCAGTGTGCTAACCCCTGTCGTCTCCCCCCCCCCCCCCCCCGACAGCGGAAGAACGGGGCGCTGGCCCTGGCCCTCTCGCCCAGGAATGCCAAAACCATCCTCAGCAAAGGCAAGAAGCTGGGCAAGGTGAAGAGCAAGGTGGCCACCAAACAGGTAAGGTAGCCTTGCAGCCCTGCCCCCGCCCCTGCTGCAGCAACCCCTCCCCCACCTCTGCCAGCCCTGCCCCCGCCCCCACTTCGGCAACCCCTCCCCCACCTCTGCCATCTGTGCCCCCTCCACGCATGGCCCCTAGTCTGTGCCATTGGAGCCCAGCCCTGGACCACATCCTGCCCAACCTGCCACGGTTGGGAAGAGACGCTGAGGCCAGCTGCCAGCTCCCGAGCACATCGGCCTGCGGCCCCCTGACTAATCACCAGCCACCGGTCCACAGATAAGGGGCTGCTCAGAGACCTGTGGGCGGAGAGCCGTCTGGAGAGACCAAGGCCGCGCACGGGGGGCTGGAATCCTGGCCAGGGCTGTCTGTGGCCCTTCGGGGGGACTGGGGGTTGGGAGGAGTAGCAGGAATCTATCCGTGGCGGGGCAGGGGGAAGCCCCTTGGGGCCATTCCTCCCTCCAGACGCTCCCAGGCTTCCCCCGGGCCCCCGAGAGGTTCGCTCCCCCAGGCTGGCCGGGCTGCAGGCAGAGCCGACCTCCCCGCTGGTGCTGTCGGGAGAGACCCAGGTTCAAGGCCTGGCCAGCGGCTGAGGGCTGGGTGAGGGGCTCCCTGGCGGCCCCCGGACCACAGGGGGGTGGCTGCTCACTGCCCCCCGCACTCTGTCCCCACAGTGCAAGGGGCGGGCGGTCAGCAAGCTGCTGGAGAGCTTCACCGTGGAGGACGACTTCGAGTTTGATGACAACAGCAGCTTCTCAGAAGAGGAGGAGAGCCCTCGGCTGGGGGCTGAGCAGGGCACAGCCCACGGTGAGCTCTGCCCCCCGGGCAGAGCCCAGGGCTGCCAGGCCTCTGGGGGATGGGACGAATGGACACAGCTCAGGGGGGTCTAGGGCAGAGGAGTTGGTGCTAAGGCACCCGAGTCAGGACTCCTGGGTCCACGCCTGGCTTTGTGTGTGACTGCCCCGTTCTGTGCCTCAGCTTCCCCAGGGGGCTCTCCAGAGTGGGGCTGTGGGGCTCAATCCAGTCACGTCTTGCAGCGCTCTGGGATCCCTGGAGCGAGGTGGGGCCACAGAGTGGCGGGGCGGGATCCCGGGGGGCACAGCGCACCCCACGGCTCCTTTCAGCGCTCTGTAACAAGAGCCAGCATCCCCTATGCAGCCCCCAGAAGCCAGTGAGCAGGCTCCGGATCCCGAAGCCACGGGAGGGGCTGTGAGGCATGCGAGTGCCCTGTGGTGCGGCTTGCCTTGCGGGCACAGTATGGGCAGGGGGGCAGGCGCTGGCCCCTGGGGGACTCATGCCCCGTCTTCTCCCCCAGCGCACTCCTGTACTATCCGCAAGGAGGACCTGCGGGACGGCCTGCGCGTGCTCATCCCCAAGGAGGACAGTCTGCTGTACGCCGGCAGCGTCAAGACCCTGCAGCCTCCGGACATGTAAGGGCCACGCTGGTGTGGGGGAGAGACGGGGGGGCCGGGGGGACCCACAAAGAAGGAGACGGACAGATGGACAGACAACCCCTGCACGGGAGGGGCTACCGTGATGCCCCTCGCCCGCCAGGGTGGGTCACCCTCTAGGCCCCTTTGGATTTTCCCAGCCGTTCTCCCCCGGAGAGGCCAGTGAAAGTGATGGTTCTCTGGGAACGCTCTTGGGATGCGAAATGTGTCCTGTCTCTACCCATCCCCCTGCACCCTTGCCCTCCCCCCTCACGGCAGCGCTGGGCTGCGGGCCCTGGGGTTACCAGGCTGGCCCTGCAGAGCCATGCACTGGGCTCTGGGCCTCTCGGGCCGGACGTCCCACCTTCCCCCTTCTGGGCGAACTCCGAAAGCAGAGGCGAGCCTCTTCCTCCTGCTGCGCTGGCCTGACCCCTTTGTTCGCTGACTCCCCCCTGCAGCTACAGCGTTGTGATCGAGGGGGAGAGAGGGAACCGCCAGCGGATCTACTCCCTGGAGCAGCTCCTGCAGGAAGCCGTGAGTGCTCTGCTCACCCTGGGTAAACACAGAGCTTGGCCCGGAGCCCCGGGGAGGGAAACAACCTGCCTCAGACAATCGGAAGGTCCCGGCCATCTGTGCAGGGCGGGCAGGGCAGCCTTCAAAGCGCGGGCAGGAAGGGAGGGGTTGGCAAGCGCCCAGCCAAGGCAAACAAGGGCAAGCGCGCACAATGTGCTGGGGCCAGCTTGGGGACGGGAGCCAGGCCAGGCCAGCTTCACAGCACCCCGGGCAGCGGCTGGAGCACACCAGAACCCCACTGGTTCCCCGCCCTGTGTGCACTTCCCAGGCAGAGCTCCCCCACGTGGGTGCGACAGACACCCCCCATCCTTTGGCGGGGGGGGAGGTTGTCCCCAGGCAGAGGCCCCAGCCCTGCCGAGGAGCCTCTGGTGACCCATGCTCTTGTCTCCTTCCAGGTGCTAGACATCAGACCCCAGTCCAGCCACCACCTCCCGCCAGGCGCCAGGGTGTGCGCGTACTGGAGCCAGAAATCCCGCTGCCTCTACCCGGGGAACGTGGTGCGAGGTGAGGAGCCTGCAGGGTGCAGGCCGGGGTAGGAGCCGTTCGGGTGATTCGGGCCACGGGGCAGCGCGAGCACCGTTGGGCTGCAGAACTGAGGCTGGTGCTCAGGTGCCAGGCAGGGGTCCCCAGGCAGGGGCAGCGAGAGGAGAGGGTAGCAGGGCTGGCACCTCCCTGGCACACAGCTGGGAGCTCAGATCTGCCCGGGACACGGCCCTGCTGAGAGGCCTGGGCAGACTGGGGCTGTACGGAGGGGCGCACAGAGTGAGTGCAGGGCGGGAGGAGCTGGGGATGGGCCTGGCTGGAGGAGGACTCTCATTCTGCCGCATGCGCATGTGACTGTGGCCCAGAGATGCCCCTGCCATCAGCGTGTCCCTGCCCCGGCGTGCTGGCTCTGGCGCAGCCTCACCTGCTCAGGGCCTTGTCCTCAGGGACGCACTGCGCTGGCAGTGGGGTGGCCCCCTCACTCGCCCAGCGCTGGGGCTCCCTCTCCCCTCTGCGCGCACTGACAGCACGTCCCCCCAGGGCCCTCCAGCGACGAGGAGGAGGAGGAGGAGGACCTGGACTCAGTGGTGGTGGAGTTTGACGACGGGGACACAGGCCACATCTCGGTATCCAACATCCGCCTGCTGCCCCCGGACTACCAGATCCAGTGTGAGCCGCCCGGCTGGGCCCCGGGGGGGGCGGGGGGCCGTGGGGAGCCCCGCAGAGAGGCACAGGTTGTGTGTGCAGGGCCAGGGGCCAGAGTACTGGCCTCGCACTGCCAGGGGGCTGGGCAGGGACTCAGCCAGGTCTCCCTGCCCCTGGGGCCTGGGCCGGCCCATCTGGCTACGGGCACGAGTCTCCTCTCGAGCCCTGACGCTCGCTGTGGTTACAGGCACGGAGCCCTCCCCTGCCCTGCTGGTATCCAGCACATGCCGGCGGACGAAGCGGTCCTCCAGCGACGCCCCCCCGCCCAGCGAGGCGGTCCCCAGCCTGTGTGTGGATGGGCGTGACAGTGCCGAGCCAGCCAAGAACGCCAGCAAGAAGGCCACTAGCAAAGAGAAAGCCGGTAGGTAGAGCCAGGGGCTGGGAATGAGCCTCCCAATAGGCAAGGGTCCCTCACCTGCTCCGCTACAGCCAGCCAGCAGAGCTAGGCCCTTCCCTGGGAAAACTCCATAGGGGGCTGCGACTGGCCTAGCAGGGAGCTGTGGGTCGGGAGGGAGGGGCACCAGCAGAGCTGGGGTGGTGGAGCCCAGGGCTGGCCTCATGCTCCTCTCCAGCCAGCGCATTTGTCCCCGACTTGAGAGCTGAATTGGCACAGCCAGGCCTGGGGACCCGTGTGTGCGGGGCACGGTTGGGACGCTCTGGCTGTGGATCAGGAGCCTGGCAGAGCCCGGAGCTGTTCTCACCCACAGCCATTGGCCTGACCCGGCTGTTTCCCTCCCTGACAGGTAAAGCCGATGTGCTGGCCCTGGGTGCCAAGGCGCTGCCGCCGGCTGATCACTTCCTGGGCCGGCGTGGCAGCCCCCTGCTGAGCTGGTCGGCGGTGGCCCAGACCAAGCGGAAGGCGGCCAGCAAGAACCCAGCCGTGCTGCAGAACCTCTTCCAGCTCAACGGCAGCAGCAAGAAACTGCGGGCCAAAGAGGCGCTCTTCCCCGTGCACAGCGTGGCCGCCCCCATCTTCGGCAACGGCTTCGGTGCCGACTCCTTCAGCAGGATCGCCAGCTCCTACGCCTCCTTCGGCGCCGGCGCCGGCCTGGTGCTGCCCGGCACCCAGAAGCTCCTGCGGGCCAAGAAGGTGGAGAGGCTGGAGGCGGAGGTGGGCAAGGGGGGCAGGAGGAAGTCGGGCAGCGAGTACCTGGTCAAGCTGGACCACGAGGGCGTGACGTCCCCCAAGAACAAGAACTGCAAGGCCCTGCTGATGAGCGACAAGGGCTTTGGGCCCAAGCTGGAGAGGCCCCTGCCCAGCCATGGCTACGCCCACCCAGCTCTGGTGGGCAAGGACAAAAAGGGGCGGGCCCCCATACACCAGCTGCCCATGGGGCTGGCGCTGCGCAAGTACTCGGGCCAGGCCGACTACGCCTTGAACTGTGACAGCGACTGCCACAGCTCCTACTCCGACGAGGACGAGGAGACTGGTGGGCTAGGCGCCAACGTGCCCTCGCGCTTCATGACGCGCCTCTCGGTCTCCTCCTCCTCCTCCGGCTCCTCCACCTCCTCCTCCTCCGGCTCCATCTCCACCTCCAGCCTGTGCTCCTCGGACAACGAGGACTCCTCCTACAGCTCCGACGACGAGGACTCCACCCTGCTGCTGCAGACCTGCCTCACCCACCCCGTGCCCACCCTGCTGGCACAGTCCCAGGCCCTGCGCTCCAAGAACAGCGCCCCGCAGAGGTGCTACATCGCCAAGGCCGCCGCCGCCAGCGCCAAGGCCAAGCTGAAGCGCAAGGAGGCCCTGAGCTTCTCCAAAGCCAAAGAGTTCTCCCGGAGGCAGCGGCTGCCGTCGGTGGAAAATCGGCCAAAGATCTCCGCTTTCCTGCCAGCGCGGCAGCTCTGGAAGTGGTCGGGGAACCCCACGCAGGTACGTCCAGCCCCGCCCCTGGGTACATCTGGCCACGCCCCCAGGTACATGTGGCCCTGCCCCCGGGTACATCTGGCCACGCCCCTGGCTATATCTGCCTCCCCCTCCCAGTACATCTGGCCCCACCCCTGGAAGCATCTGGCTCCGCCCCCGGGGGAGTCTCAAGGGCAGGGCCGGTTGAGGCCTCCCATGTGATTGTCCCTGGCTTGTTAGCTTGGTGCGGAGGGGAGGCTGTTGGGCACTGCCAGCAGATGGGATGAGGGGCAGGGCGCGCCCCTAACAGGGATGTCTTGGGTCGGGGAGCTGCTGGAACAGGCTGGCACCTCCACCAGCAGACCCCTGCCATGGAGGCGCAGTCACTGCCCGAGGGGGCACCGGCTTGGCACACCGAGGCGTCTCCCCCAGCCCATTCCCTCCATGGTTTGCAGTTCTTGGTCCCCCCATTAGCTCCGATCCAGGCAGAACCTCCCCACCCCCTGTCCTTCTGGGAGCCCATGGACTCACTGAGGGGGCCTGGAGCCGCTGCATCGCTACCAGCCCCCCAATCCCACCAGGGCAGCCGTGCTGCTGTTATTGGCACCTCATCCCAGTGCCCGGGATGCCAGTGTGGGGCGGGAGGGTCGCGAGCTGGGGCCTGACTGCGTCTCCACCCCCCGCAGAGAAGGGGCATGAAGGGCAAGGCCCGGAAGCTGTTCTACAAAGCCATCGTGCGGGGCAAGGAGACGCTGCGCATTGGCGACTGCGCCGTGTTCCTCTCGGCCGGCCGGCCCAACCTGCCCTACATCGGGCGCATCGAGAGCATGTGGGAGTCGTGGGGCAGCAACATGGTGGTGAAGGTGAAGTGGTTCTACCACCCCGAGGAGACCAAGCTGGGCAAGCGGCAGAGCGACGGCAAGGTGAGGGGGTGGGCGACTGGGCACGGACCGTGGATGGGGGCAGACGGGTGCGGGACAGGGGTGGCTGGGCGGATGAGCATGGGATGGGGCGCTGAGTGGACAGACCTGGGATGGGGGTGACAGGCGTGAGATGGGGGTTGCTAGGCAGATGGGCACAGGATGGGGGCACTGGGTGGAGGGGCACAAGATGGGGGTACTGGGCAGCTGGGCACGGGACGGTGCATTGGGCTGCCGGGCGTGGGATGGGGCACTGGGCAGACGGACACAAAATGGGGGTTGCTGGGCGGACAGGCACAGGACGGGGCACTGGGCAGCCAGGCACGAGATGGCCCCTTTCCCAAGCCCCCCGGGAGAACCCAAGGGCTGCGCTCAGAACAGGATGGCCACGGAGCTGCCAGCATGCCGGGCAGGGTCCAGTGGCTGAAGCCCCTGGGGCCTGCAGGGGACCCTCACCTTGCCCTCTGCCCACAGAACGCGCTGTACCAGTCGTGCCACGAGGACGAGAACGACGTGCAGACCATCTCGCACAAGTGCCAGGTGGTGGGGCGGGAGCACTACGAGCAACTGACCAGGAGCAAGAAGTACCAGGACCGCCAGGACCTCTATTACCTAGCGGGGACCTACGACCCCACGACGGGCCGGCTGGTGACTGCCGACGGCGTCCCCATCCTGTGCTGACCCCGCCAGGGGCGAGCCAACCACCCCCCGGCCACCCACCGGCAAACACGCAGGGGAAAGGAGCCGGGAACCGGGGCCAGGAATGGCCGAGCACCCTGGGGCCTTTTGCCCCCCTTTCTGGGTGGGCTGGCCAACGAAGGGCTGCGCTGACATCGGGGGAGCTCCCCCAGCAGCACCACCTCTGCCCGTTGGAGCCAGGCCCGGTAATTATGCAAACCCCGCCCAGCCGCACAACCCCGGCGGCTCCCATGGAGCAGCGGCCCGGATCCCGGCCGCGGGGCAGAGCCAGCCTGGCTTGCCGGAGACTCGCACACAGAGCTCTCCTTCCCGTTGGCAGGCGCGGAGAGATTTGAATTCAAGCCATACTGTCCCTAGTACCTCGGACTGTTTGCCAGCAGGTAAAGCAGAAATCAGGTGTATTATTCTATTTATTTCTCATGTAAATATTGTATTTCTTCCGGGAAGTTTTATGGAAACAGAGAAACCGACAGACAAACGGGGGGGGCGGGTGTTGCAATGCACTGTTTGCCCTCAGCCTGGCTGAGGCTGAGGACAGCTGGGGTTTTCTGTACATAGGGAGGGAGCAGGGAGGGCCCCTGGCGTGCTCACCCCGCTGACGGGACCGCACCCGCCTGGCCGGCTGTGTAATATAGACCCCCCGGGGCGCGCTCCCTCGGTCCTTCGGTGTATTATTATTATTATTATTCTGATGCTAGTGACCCCGGCTCTCTGTCGGGGGGCACGTGCCCTGGGGCGGGAACAGAGAGAGAGTATATATATTATTATAAACTAGGGCAGGGAGCACACAGCCAGAGCCAACTTCCCTCGGGAACCAAACACGCCCGCCACGCACAGACCTGCCGCTCCTGCATGCACCCACGCCCCGCACAAGCAGGAGACAGGGCCGGGCTGGGCGTCTCCCTGTGGCTCCCAGCCATGCCAGGACCCCGGGTAAAGGACATGGGTGGATGTGTGCAGATGGGGGAAGAGGGGGGGCATTCGCATGTGGACGTGGACACGTGGAGGAGTGGGCACGCAGGGGGTGGGTACGCGGAGGGGTGCACAGGCGCTGAAAGGACAAAGTGCAGGGGTGCCCGACAGCACCGCACCCCCTCCCAGCTGGGGCCAGGCAGCCCCAACCCTCTTTTCTGAATCCCATTAATCCATTAAACCAAACTAACCCAGACCCTCTCAGGAGAAGACGCAGGGGCCCGGCTGGAGCCAGCACTGCCCATGGGACGTGGCTGCCCCGATGCCCTGGGCTGGGGCCCAGCTGGAGCCGAGATGTCTCTGCTCTTGGAGTGCCCTCAGGCCTGCAGCTCTGGCAGTGGGGCTCACGGCCGGGCTGCCCCCCCCGGGGGAATTGGGGCTTTTCTGAAAGCAGAAGAACCCAGTGAGAAGGTGCCCGGGGTGGTGGGGCTGAGCCAGCCGGGAACGGATATCGCGCCCTGCTTAGAGCCCATTGCCCTGGCATGGCGAGTGATCCAGAGGGGCAGTGGTGGCTTCCTGCAGACAAACCAAAGCACCCCCCCCCCGGCTCACCCCCTCCCCCCAGGGGCTGCGCTGGGAGCCCGGCAGGGACATGCGGGAGCAGGCCCCTGCCTTTGCCGGCCCATGTGCAGACACCCCCGCTCTCCCACCCAGCGGCTGCCAGCATGTCTGCCACAGCTTCCCACTCCCCCCATGGCAGCCCTGCCCTACAGGGAGGTGGCACCCGCTGGACACAATGCTGGACTCTGTGTGGCCCATGCCAGCTCGGGGTAGCATGGCCCCACTGAGCGGGCACCTCCAACCAAGGACCAGACGTCCCCAAGACCCCATGCGGCCCCAGGGCCACAGCGGGGGCTGATGTAATGTGTTCGGAGGTGCCCCCGCAGCCCCCACACTCCCAATACTTTGCTGTCTGTGGTTTCTGCCCACTCCAGTCAGGACCCACGCCCTCAATGGGGCAGGGGGACGCTGGCCCGTCCCAGCCCCCCCTTAAGCTCCAGATAGAAGAGAAAGGAGCCTCCCCTCCCCCCGGTGGTCTCAGAGTAACCCAGATTCCTGATGAGTGCGTGAGACGCCCCCCCGGACCCCCCCCCAGCGGCCGTGCCCCCCTCCCTGTGGCTATGCTGTAAATGTGTAAAGGGCCGTTCTGCGCCGAGGGGAGGGGTTTTTTTTCAATGTAAACACTAAAAAAACTACAACAAAAAAAGGGGGCAAAGACCCCGGTTTTCTGAACAGCAGACGATGTAAAGGCCTTTTAGTATGGAACTTTTCTATCGATAACTTGGCTTATGAATAAATATATGAAACCTTGCTGGGCAGCGGGTGTTCAATCCCTCGTGGAACCAGCCCCACGGGCAGACAGGCACTGGGCACCGGGGCAGGGCTCTAACCTATGTACTGGGGGTGCCAGGGGAACAGATCAGGAGTGGGGAGGATTGGGGGTGCCCTGCCTTTGAGGGGTGTTGGGATGAGGCTCGGGGAGGATTGGGGGGGGGGGGCGTGCACTGGGGGGGCCATGCCAAGGGGCATCAGTAACATGGGCCGGGCGACACATCAGTTACAATGACACCCAAGGGCCAAGTGTGGCACTGGGGAAACCTGGGTGCCAGGCCCTGGCTCCATGTGACCCGCTTTGCCTTAGCACTGCTCAGAACAGGCCGACAGAACACAGGTTCTAGTCCCCAGTTCTGCCACTAACGCCCTCTGCGGCTACAGACAAGTCCCTTGTGGAGGGGTGGGTGGCTCTGTGCCTCAGTTTCCCCTTCTGCCTGAGGGGTCTCAGTGGCCTCCCCAGGGGAGAGTCTGGGACTCACGCTGGGACGTGCTTTGAGATCCTTGGCAGAGCCAGGAAGGCTGAGTGCTCACCCTGGCTGGCCTGGTGCAGCCCACCCCTTCTCCAGCAGTGTGGGGTCAGGGTCACCCCATGGCCTGACTGCGGGCCAGGCCCCCTCCCAGCCGAGCCACTCGCAGCACAGAGGCTGTAAATCCCACCGCGGCCCCCCGCAGCTGCTGGCTAATGACTTGGTTTTATATCTTAATTCACAATTTTATTGCCCTCTTCCCAAGCGCAGAGACAGAGAGGTGTAATTAGCAGCCAATGGAATTACCGCCCGCCCCGTGCCCGCCGGGCCCGGCTCCAGCGCCACGCTCAGGAAGGGAGCTGGAGCGGCTGCTGGCACAGGGTGGTCCGGAGGCCCAGGGCGAGCAGGGTCTTGCTGGCCCTAGTCCTCCTGCAGCAGCCAGGGCAAACACATCTGCTCCCCCCGGCTCGATAAACAGACACGGGGGTGGGATAAATGGAGACACTGGCTGGCGCAGTGAGATTAATGGGTGCACTGATGACAGGCACAGGGGGGCACTGGTGAAATGTTGGGGTGCTCTCAGTTCCAACCCCCATTCTCCAGACAGGGAAACTGAGGCATGTAGCTGGGACCTGACTTCCCATGGTCACACTTCAGTGGCAGACGAGTTACAGCCCTAGGAGCCCTATCTGCCAGCCCCACACTCAACCCCACAGCCAGCCCTGGCTGTCCCCCAGGCCCCAGCACGACCATTCCCCAGGGCAGCAAGCGCCACCCAGCTCCTCTCTGGGCTGTCCTCACCCAGCCCCCTCCCATGCCAGGGATGCTGCCCGGCTGCTTCCCCATGCAAGCCCTTTGCCAGGCCTCTGCAGGGACCGTGCCTATGGAGAGCCAGCCCCACTGCATGGGGCTTTGGGGCTGCTGTGGCCGGAGCGCATCACTGGGACCCAGGCAGGGCAGAGCTAACCCCAGTAGCGAGACACCAGGATGGGGGCAACTGCGGCTCCCCACAAGCATCGACGGGCAGGGGCGTGAAAGCCCCCGTCTGGGAGCTGGGCAGATTCCAGCCAAAAAGGGGAGGGCAGAGACAGCACCAGGAGCTAGGCATCCCACGGGGCCAGAGGCCCTAGGCTGGGGGGCTGAGGCCAGCAGCCCTGCGGTGACTGGCTTGGGGGCTCTTAGCCATGGGAACGCTGGCCTTTCAGCGCCAGTTGGATCCCGCGGCCGTCACGGGCCCCCCCGCGGTGTTCTCAGCACTGGCCGCGGGCGCTGCCCGGCTCAGCAGAGAGGTACCGGAGACCAGGCTCCCCCCCAGAAGTGGGGGCATGTTGCTGGGGTCCAATGTTCTGTCTCCTCTCGCAGGCAGCCAGAGCGCCCCAAATGCCTTCCCCCTCCCCTTCCCCCACACCCACCGGCCCAGCTGCTCCACGTTGGTGCTTCGTGTCTCTCCGCGCTGTGCGGAAAGGGATCCTGCCCAAGGGGAGGTCACCGCCCAGGCCGGGGAGTCGGCTTTCAGCCCAGCACTGCTGCCCAGGCCACGCCAGCCCCTTCGCCCTGACAGCGGGCTCGGCTTAATTCTGCCCAGCCGAAGAGAGACGAAATTAAACAGGAGCTGGCCCGGACCCCAGCAAACCTGGCGCGGAGCAGGCAGCCACACGCCCGGCTCTACCCCATCCCAGGCTGGGGGTGGGCGCCAGGGAGCGCTGACTGTTGGGTTGTTACAATGGGACAGGCCCCATGGGGCCAGCCGCTCCCATCACAGGCGGGCACCCCCCTGACTCACCAGCCTGGAGCAGGCAGAGGGGCCGGCAAGCTCCAGGGACCGCGTCCCCTCTCCCATGCACCCCCATCCCAGCCAGGGCCGACAGCCCCCTGGGGGCAGGGCTTGAGGTCTCCAGCCCTACTTCCCCGTCCCAGGTACCACAGGAGCAAATTCCTTTCCCCACCCGCCGAGGCCATGGCCAGGTGAAAACCCCCCACCCCCACCTTTCTGCCCCACTCCTGTCTCCACTGTGCCCGCCCCACTGGAAGGCCCCCGGAGCAGGGCCCGTGCTGTGTCGGGGGGCAGCGCCCAGAACACACAGGGTTAAAACCGGCGCGCCTGGCTTGTGACCAAGACAAATGAGGCGCTATGGGACCCGCCACAGCAAGATAAATGGTGGCACCGGGTGACTTTGATCAATACACGTGACGCTGGCGCAGGTAGAGATGACAAGCAGGGCCGATCGCAATTAGTTTTTAATACCACAAACCAGTTGGGGACGAGGGCACGTTAATTATTCATCCACCAAGCACCAGCCTCGCCTCCTACAGAGCTGCATGGGTGGGGGCTGGGCCAGAGAGCAGCAGGCACCCCTGGCTGGTGCCCCACAGCCACGGGAGGGGGGCACACAGGGATGCCAGGGCTGGTGGTCTGAGGATCCCCTGGGAGGCATCTTGGCTGATGGACAGATTCTCCCAGGGGAGCTAATGGGCACCGCAGGGCACAGCATCACCAGGCCGGGTGCCCGCCCAGCCTTGCCAGCATAAATGGGCACTTTGCCCGGTCGAGGGTGAAGCAGAGACAGGTGAGTGGGGAGGGGAGAGACGCTGCAGGAGGAGCTTTCCCAGACTCCTCCCCCTCCCAAGCGCCACATGGGCAGCCTCCTGCCCCCATGCAGCTGGCACCTCTCACCCGCCGGGCATGAGCCGACCCACCAGCCCATGATGAGCTGTCACGGAGTGTGGGGGGACACAAGACCCTGCACCCCCGGCTTCCTGCGATTCACCATGACTCTCAGCCAGCCAGTAAAGCAGGTTTATTAGATGATAGGAACACAGTCCAAGACCTGTCTTGCAGGCACAGACAACAGGACCCCCTCAGTTAGGTCCATCTTGGGGTCCCAGGGGCACCACAGCCCCGTTGGGGGGGGGGTCAGAGCCCCATCTGGGCTCTCCTCCATTACCAGCCAGCTCCTGACCAACCTCAACTCCCTCCAGCCTCTCTCACCCCTCCTCCCCCAGCCTTTGTCCAGTTTCCCGGGCAGAGGTGTCACCTGGCTCCAACCCCCTTCCTGGGTTCTCACCTTACATGCTCAGGTATCCTCCCTCAAGGCCAGTCTCCCATCCCCTAATGCAGACCGTCCCAGCCAACACTCCCCACTCAGCATTCAAAGGCCACATTAAGAACAGTCCCAGTTCGTCACAGGAGCACAGGCTGGTCAAGCCGCTCACACCTCTCTGCCCCCAGTCCCCTCGGGATGGCAGGGCCGGCGTTAATCCTGTTCTGGGGCCAGCAGACCCAGGCACCCAGACCCTCTTGTCACGTGCCAGCTGCCGCCCCAGCTCCCCACAACCTCCATCGCAGCTCCTGCAACCCCAGGGCAAGAGGCCCCTTCCCGGGCCGATCCCACAGGTGCAAAGGCGATGGGCCCAACCCCCTGCCCCGCCCCAGGCTGGCCCTGCCCAGACTAGCCCCCTGCAGCTTCCACCCTTCCTCCTGGTCAGGTGGGGATTGTGGGGCGCTGCGAAGCCT